CCGATTGAAATTCTACACGTCAAATTCTAGAGGCAAAAGTGTTCTAGAATTGGTTCATTCTGACGTATGGCAAGCACCAGTTACATCCCTAGGTGGAGCAAAATACTTTGTCTCATTTATTGATGACTACTCCGGGAGATGTTAAGTGTACCTATTAAAAAGAAGTCAGATGTGTTTTCAACTTTCAAAAACTTCAAAGCGCGGGTGGAACTTGATTCTGGAAATAAGATCAAGTGTTTCAGAACAAATAATGGAGGAGAATTCACAAGTGAAGAATTTAATGACTTTTGCAGGAAAGAAGGCATCAAAAGACAGTTCACAATAGCGAACACTCCTCAACAAAATGGAGTGGCAGATTGGATGAATAGAGCCTTGTTAGAAAGAAAAAGAGGAATGTTTAGTGTTGCAGGCCTAGAAAAATCATTTTGGGCAGAAGCAATCAATACCGCCTGCTATTTGGTGAATCGAGCTCCATCAACTACAATAGTGCTAAAGACACCAATGGAGATGTGGACCGGTAAACCAGTTGATTATTCAAACCTCCATGTATTTGGAAGTATTGTGTACGTGATGTACAACTCCCAAGAAATTTCAAAGTTGAATCCAAAATCTAGGAAATGCAAATCATTGGGGTATGCTAATGGTGTAAAGGGGTATCATTTGTGGGATCTCACTGCCCGCAAAGTGATCATCATCAGGGATGTTATCTTTGTAGAAGATAAACTACAAAGAAAAAAAGACGACGATAGCGCTAAAAAGTCAGAGACTACACAGATACATGTGGAAAAAGAGTTTGAACAAGGAGATTCTTCTGAAAGCAGAACCATCACATGATGAACAAGAACTAGAAAGTTTTGAAGCTCCAATAACTTGTCAATCAAATCGTGTGAAAAGACGTCCCAATTGGCACTTAGATTATGTTATAGAAGGAAATAATGCATACTACATTTTAACAGAGGACGGTGAGCCATCAATATTCCAAGAGACAATAAACAACTCAGATGCTTCACTGTGGATGGTGGCGATGCAAGAAGAAATTGAAGCCATTCACAAAAATAATACATGGGACCTTGTGCCACTACCACAAGGAAGGATGCCAATTGGTAACAAATGGGTCTTCAAAATCAACCAAAATTGTTACGATCAAGTGGAGAGGTATCGTGCAAGACTAGTGGTAAAAGGATATGCTCAAAAAAAGGTATTGATTTCAATGAAATATTTTCTCCTGTGGTTCGACTAACAATAGTTTGAGTAGTTTTGGAAATGTGTGCTACATTGAACTTACATCTAGAGCAGCTAGATGTTACAACATCTTTTCTTCATGGAGATCTTGAAGAAGACATTTACATGCTCCAGCCTGAAGGTTTTGAAGAAAAAGAAAATAAGAACTTGGTTTGCAGGTTGAACAAATCTCTGTACGGTCTAAAGCAGGCGCCAAGGTGTTGGAATAAGAGATTTGATTCCTTCATTATGTGCCTTGGATACAACAGACTTAATGTAGACCCTTGAGAGGTTTGGTGATAAAATTTTTGTTATATTACTGTTTATGTGGATGACATGTCCAAAAAAGATCATATTTAAGGAACAATTGGCTAGGGAATTTGAAATGAAGGACTTGGGATAGTAAACAAGATTCTGGGGATGCAAATTCACCAGGACAGAAGTAATAGGAAGATTTGGCTTTCAGAAAAGAATTACTTGAAGAAGATCTTGTCATGATTCAACATGTAAGATTGTAATTCAATTTCTATCACTCTTCCTATTAACTTCAAATTATCCTCCAGTATGAGTCCTAGTAGTGAAGAAGAGAGGATGAAGATGTCTCGAGTATCGTATGCATCAGCAGTGGGAAGTTTAATGTTCGCTATGATATGCACAAAACCAAACATTTCATAAGTAGTGGGAGTGGTTAGTCGGTATATGGCAAATCCAGGCAAAGAGCATTGGAATACAGTAAAGAAAATCCTGAGATACACCAAAGGGACCTCAAATGTTGCACTATGTTACAGAGGATCAAATTTACTTACCAATGGGTATGTTGATTCTGACTATGCAGGGGATTTGGATAAAAGCAAATCTACTACAGGATATGTGTTCAAAGTTGCTGGTAGAGCTATAAGCTGGGTTTCAAAATTACAGTCAGTTATGGTCCACATCCACAACAGAGGCAAAATATGTAGCAACTACACAAGCCAGTAAAGAAGCAATGTGGTTGAAGATGCTATTGGAGGAGCTTGGGCACAATCGAGAGTATGTCTCTCTATTTTGTGACAGTCAAAGTGTCTTGCATCTAGCAAGGAATCCAACATTCATTCAATGACAAAACATATATGAGTTCAATACCATTTCATTCATAAAAAGGTGTAAGAAGGGACGGTAGATATAACACCCTCAACCCGTATCCGACCCGGATCCGAGTCTGAGGTGTCACATTGACTTTTTAAAACATTTACTTGTATAAAATAGTGAGTAATTTAAAACTTTTATAACATATAACTTATTCAAAACGTTTACAGAAATATTCAGAGCTTATACGCTATATTCTTTTGAGTACATGCCAACTAGAACTTTATATATTAAAATACATATTATTCACCTCTCTTCTGATCTGACCTTCAGTAAGGAGAACTGACATGTCTTGCTCCACATTGCTCCTTACTCTTCTTCTCGTTTCTGTAACCTACGTGTGAAACAATCACACGCTAAGTGTATGACTTAGTGAGGCATTAAATTTATTAAAAAAACTCTAACTATTTAAACATGCATAAGCACATCATCTCATGATGTCACACCCAAAACAATATAACATTACATACAATGTAATATACATATCTCACACTATTTCCATCACTAACCTTATTCCACTATCCATATTCTTATTATTTATATCTTATAATCATATACTCATATATTCATTCTTTTAAACCATATATGATTCTTTTAATCACGTAATATACACATCATCTCATATATCATATCCACACATGCATATAATTATCTTCTTTCCTATCATTATCATATCATTACCATTCATATTTCTATTATCTTGTTTATATGATCCATTATGTTCATATCATATATCTTATAACATATACAATAATCACTAACACACATATATCGTATCATATACATTGTATTCAATGTTATTTCTTATTAGCTCATGTATACTTTTGAGAACTTAAGGTATGTGAGTACATTGAGGTTGTGCACCACTATGTTGTCATCACAGCTCATATAAATATCCCGAAGGACCTATTCAGAGGTCATAAAGAACCTCGACAACTGTCCATAGGTCCCGAAGAACCTAGGTAAACTTTCCATATGTTCTTAAAACATAGGTATACTATCCATATGTCTCGAAAGACATAGGTAATTATGTCCATATGTTCCGTAGAACATAGGTAAACCCTCGACTCTTGGCATGCCAACTATACCTATCGCTCTCGTATCATATAACATGGGCATTTTCACTTATATCATTCCACATATACACTTTCATATCACATGTCATATAAGCTCATAGCTTCTTTCACATATACATGTAGTCACGTAGTTTCTTTTCACATAGTTCATGTCAATTCTCATATGATTTCATATTCATACTTCACATGGCTCATATCACTTTGCATGGTCTCACATATATTTTCCATATAACTCATATCATATGATTCATATCTTATTCTTCTTTCATCATATATATCATCCATGACTATATTCATGCATAAATAATAATCATATCACCCATATTAACATCCATAAAATCATGCAATCAAATATTGGAAGTAGACTCATCGTGAGTCTTTTCCACACACATCATATGCCAATGTATATGCACTCACCTTGGCCTCACTAAGTTCCAATCCACTTTTATGCTTTCCTCTCTTTCGATCGAATTTTAACTTGATAATCGTTCTGGAACTTGTTCGTGCTCGATATCTATATAATCATACATTGATATATATCAGTATCTAATTGATATATTCTAATCTATCATTTTTTAGACCAAAAGAAATGTCTATTTCAATTTCCCCTTGAAGTGCATCGATGCATTCTACAGTGCATCGATGCGATGCATTCTTTATCATGTGCATAGATGCACTACTCATGAATCGATACACAAATCACCTTCGATGTTTTCATTTTAAGGGGGTGCATCTATGCACTCCTTATGCATCGATGCACTAATTACATTCGATGTTTCTTCTTTAAAGAGTGCATCAATACACATTGAATGTGCATCAATACACCTTGCCCGGAATTTGCATTTTAAGCCTGAAAACCATCAACTTTTCACTCACTTCTTCTATTTTAAGCCCTTATCATGTCATTAAACTCAATTACCATTACTTAAACCAACTTATATCCATATAAACCATCTTTATCTTCCATATCTCATCATGATTCTTAAAATTTAAGAATCTTGCTAAACTTTCAACTTTGTTATTAATCCTTTCTAACTTCATATATCTCTTATTCTTAGTGATGACAAGTCAAATTTCACTTATTAACTCTTTTCCATAAATTCATCTAAAAACTCATTTTCTTTAATCTCTTCTATATCTTTCATCTTGTTGTTTTAGAACAAATTAAGCTTTCATTAAGCTTAATTATCATCTAATAATCATAACCCATCCTTAAAATCAATAATTAATCAACTAACAAAGAAACTCACCTTTGAGTCAAGCCTTCACGTATGAAGAAGGAATAAGAGAAGAGAACTCTGGAACCTTTCTCTCTTCCTACGTGGTTCCTTATCTTATAAAAAAATCTTCCTTGTTAAATGACCTTTTTGCCATTCAATTCATCTAATAATTACTAATAACTTTTATGATTTATTTCCAAATAAATCATTGAACTAATCCATGGTTCTATTCTAATCACCAAATTCTGAAACTTTACAATTTGATCACTAACCTGGTATTGAGGATGTTATAGTAGATATGTAGAAAATCCATACCAAAGACAACATTTTATGACAAAGGCGGTAAATGCTGATACATTTACTCGGTGTCGATCCTCTTGTGGCCTGTCAGAAACGTAAGCAACATGAAGGTACAAGGTAGAAAGAATGATGTGAAGATATGATTGTTCCAATCAAATCTTCAAGTGGGAGATTATTGAAAGTCAAACATTTATTCGGTGCATTAATGCACTGAATGTGCAGTGGTCAAAAGGCTGCAGAAATTGTGGCAGCAGATTTTGTTGAATTTGGTAAGGGAAATTACCAAATTTAGTTCCTATACTTTAGGATATTTACGAGATTAGTCCTTAAGCTTCAACTATAAATATCCTAACCCATTTAGCTTCAAAATCATCCCAAATCATTCTAGCTTTCTCTCAATACTTGAGAATTTAGAGAGTTTTTATTGAGAGTTGTTTTCTCCTTTTTATCAAGAGAGAATTGTTATTGTTTTCTAATTGTTAGATCGAGAGAAGTTGTAATTCATATTTTCTCATAGTGAAATTCTTCTATCTTTGCCCGTGGTTTTTACCCTATTTTATTTATGGGTTTTCTATGTAAAATTTGTGTTTTCTTTTTCTTCATTTTTATTTTCTCAAATTATCAGTTGCGATTCGATAGCCGTATTCCGCAACATGAGGTTGATAACCACCGTATGATGATATAAAAATAATTGATGAACCTTTCTTAAAGTGAGGAGCTGCGTCCTGCATTATACAACGAAAACAGATTAGCGTCACATCAAATAGGCTATAGTGATTAAGGATACGTTGTTTACCCTAATCATCTTGATTACCTGCAGAAGAAGTATGGATGCTTTGACGTTTGTTTCCCATAGCTTGTCGAGGACGGATTCTTTGGTTTCCAGCAAGGGCACATTAGTCGGATTTACAGCAGCATTTGATACAATCACATCTATTTTCCCATCTTTCTGAAAACAAAGTACATACAATTTTATGCATAACAATTAGCCAGAGGATTGAACATTGTTGATGAGAGAATTTCGCATTCAATCTTATAAGCAACAAATAAGAGAGAAAGGGTCATCAACACAAGGGCAGAGTCCGAGTGCGGAGCAGACAGGGCTTTGGCCCCGGAAATGATAAAATTGTGGTGTAGTCCCTCTAGAAAATGTAATGTTACAAATTAATACAATGGAACAGATCAAAGGAAAGTAATCGAGTTCTCAAGTTTACTAGTTTTTCTTTTTCGACGATTGGTATTGGAATTCAAGATTTTCATTGACTAAGCTCAACAGTCGTGTTTATTAGATTCTTCCTTTGCTGCGCATCAGATACATGACAAACGACTGCGAGAACATGTATTCCTTTAGCTTTAAGCTTTTCCACTGCCTCATCCACGTTTTTCTACAAGCGTACACCTCAAAAACATAATTAACATCCATAATCAAATCAAAACAGATCAAACAACAGCCTATTTCAAAGAAAAAGAAACATAAGAAAGTAATTTAATAAGTTACTGTAAGTATGGTCGGAATGCTTTCTTCCTATTTTGCAAAGTAACAACAGCATCCACAGAACCACAGCATAAGCAATCGATCGATAAACAAATGATTATTCAAATCTTGCTAATTAATATCGAATAGCAATCATTTACTATTGAATCCGGCGAAGATCGAAATTATTAAAAGACCTGCTTGCGAGAGGAGATGACGACCGAAGCACCTTCCAAAGCTAGGCTCTCTGCGATGCCAAAACCGATGCCTTGAGTCCAAGCAGTCACAATTGCGACTTTGCCTTCAAGTCTTCTTGCTGCAACCTTGTTCTCCATTTTCGTAAATTCAAAAGCAACGGCGATGAATACTGGAGAATCTCTCTTTCGTAATTTCGAAATACAGTGGCGATGGATTGAAGAGTTCTCTCCATCTTCCCTTTATATACAATTTCTCAGTGACTAGCCCGCCATTATTTAAATATTTTATTTAAGTACTATAAATCTTTTAATTTTGGTTAAAGTACATTGGAGGTCACTCAACTAAGTTCAAATTATCGGTTTGGTCACTAAACGTTTAAAAAGTTATAAATATATCATTAAATTTTATAGAATTATTACAAGATAGTCATTAAATTTTATTGAACAGTTAAAAAATGTTCATTATCAAACTTTTACACTCATTATAATTTTGAAATAACTATTTTATGACAGTTTGATTAATTTAATTATTACAAGAATCTGATCATATACAAACTTTTAATCTAATAAGTTTGATGAAACTTCTTTAAACAAGAGTCAAATTTCAGGTGATGAATATCATACTTAAATCAAATATTGGTTGACTAAAAATTTAATCCGACCCCACTTACTGTCATCGTTATATACAATATTCAATTTAAAATATTTCACAATAAAAAATAAAAAATTTGACTTTAAACATTTTAAAATGGCAATGAAATAAAAAGGAGAAAAATATTTTTTTGTACAAATCCGGAGTGAATACAAAGTAGTATTTATTTAGAAATTCATAATCAACTGTTAATAAATTTTTATAACCTTATATACTCATTGTTCAAATCCGAGACATAAAAAGATAACAATAATCTCTCGATACTCTCTTAATTTATAGGAAAAGTTAAATAAAGGACCAATCACGTTTTACATTAAATAATCCCAAAATAACTACTACAACAACAATAATGACGTTATTACTATGCAAAAAATGACGTTATTGACAATAATATCTGTTCAGTAATGTATCCGTTAAAAAATTTAACAAACATATTCTCATTTCTCAACCCATGTTTTCAATTAGATCGACGCAGCCTTAAGCAAAAACAATAAAATAAATAAATAAATAAATAAATAAATAAATAAATACAAGATACCATAGTGGACTACTTACCGGCAGGTTGGAACTTTATTTCGACCGCCAAAGAAAAGAAGGGTAAACTACACGTTTGGTAAATGAATTTTATTTCTCTTATTTCATTTATCTTTTTATTTTTTTAATTTATTTACTGAATTTTATAGACTGAAATTTTTTGTCATTCTACCGTTAAATAATTAACAACTTTATGACATGACTGTATTTTAATCAAAACGACGTGGTTTTAGTCTAAAATTTGTTTTTAATAATTCAAAACGATGTCATTTTGATGTAAGTTTCCATGTCATGGTGTCGTTTAATTATTTAACGACGGAGTGACTAAAAAAATCCAATCTATAAAGTTCAGTGAATAAATTAAAAAATTAAAAATACAATGAGTGAAATATAAAAAAGAGTAAAATTCAGTTACCAAACGTGTAATTTACCCATAAAATAATATGAATGATTGGATTCCATAACTATTTTATTTAATTCCCTTTCCAACTATGGTAACCTCGTATAAATGATAAATAATTACGAATCGCCCTTTATTATCAAAAGTAAAGCCCAAGTAAGAAGAGAATTTTGCTCCGATAGAGATATTTATAGGTCTTTGATTAAAAATCTTGGTCAAATTCTGAATCTAGTCCTTCTACAATGCCGAAATTAGGTTTTAATCATTATATTTTAACTTGATGGAGTTTGAGTCCTCTATTTTATAATGTTATTAACTAGTTCAAATAGTTAACACTATTAGTTACTCTAACTACAGAATTGAAATTTATTTATTTCTTTAAAACACTAATTATAATACAAAAATAATCATGTTTGATAAAAATAATAATAACGTTATAAAAGTAGCATTATACAAATAAACTCGGACTTTAAAAGTTATTGTTCGAAACCCACCTATGTGAGTTGAAAGTCTTTACTATTAGAGAATGGCGTTCGCAAATGAGTGATTAGGTTTTATCGTACGAATTGGGATCACTTCTCCATTATAGGTTAAATTATGGGTATTTTATGAAAGGTTTTGTCTTGTGTGGACTTGTAGCTTCCAACGTCTCCAAGTCTAAACTAATTGTGCACAAGTTGTAAAATGTTAGATTATAGAGATTAAATGGATTTTCCGTAAGATCAATATAATAATTGATGATATGATCAAGCTAAAAATATCTTCGAATGTTCAATTGATGTCATATGATGATGTTCCTAAAATAGTTTGTAATCTGTTGGGATGCAATTGACCCTTCCTACAAAGAACTTGTATGTTAGTTTGTTAGGAATTTATAAGCGAAAGAATAATTAAAGTTATACTAACGTAAAAAGAAACACGCATATGAGAGAATATTTAATGTGGTTTGATATTACCTATTTTCAAGAATGAGAGAAATAAATAATTCACTACAAAAATTTATCTACACGCACATGATATCTCATAATTCACACACCCGATATACATATATCAAAACCTAGTATATTTTAAAAGACTCTTCCAATATCCCAACAAAATTTTATCTACATTTGAAACCTCAAAAGTTACAAAGGTCCAAAAATAATTTTATCATTAATTGAGTTAATTATAAAGGTTAAGACCTATTTCATATTTATAGATTCAAATTTTTAATCACCAAGAAACCTAATTTCATAAGACTTAGTGTTTAAAATAAGTATTTACTAATTAAATAAACTCAATTGTTAGGTAATCTTCAACCATTAGAATTATAATAAAATTTAACTTAATTACCAATTAAAATTTAAGTCAATATCTAACCTAGTTCTTACTTATGCATCTTTCATATATAAAAAAAACTTCATAAAAATTAAAGGGAGGAAATAGATCAAATGAAAGAATATAGATTAATTTCTGAATCTATGCATAGTTGAGGGAACGAAACCAAAAGTTTCCCTCAAAGTTTCATTAGTTATAAATTACCTAAATTTACCCGATAATGTAGTGGGAATTTTTTATTTCCCAAAATAATGTACTTGAAGAATTACTTCATGAAATGGGGTGAATGCTACAGTGCAGGAGGGAGTCGCCGTGCGTTCCATGCATCCATGGCTGAGACGACATGGGTTCCCAGCGTCCAGACCGGAGATGCCATGTGCTCTGAGTGTCCTAGGGTTCCATGCGGAGACACCCAGACTGCAATGCGTCTATCCCTTTCTGTCACATCCCCTTCTTGTGTTGCGTCCCCCTTTTCTGTGACCCGATTAGGCATAGGTCGTGGCACTGCTAATAAGATTAGGCATAGGCATGGCAGTGGGTATGGGAATAGATTAGGTAACAGACCAACATGGTATGGGAATCGATTCATGCATAATTGATATAATAAATTTTTAATATAAAAAAGTTCTTCAACTATATATTTGATGAATGAGCAATTGTTTCAGAATTGGTTGTAGAGGAAGCAATTGAAGGGAGAGCAATTGACAGAGGAAGAAATTCATAGAGGAAGAATGAGTGAAATATTTTTCATCCAAATCAAGATGTTGTAAGAAACGATCAAGTAAGTGTTTATTTTACGATCAATAATTTTTCAGCCTAGTGAAGAACTTTTATTTGAATTATTTTACGATCAATAATTTTTATCATAGTATATGTATATGTTTATTTTATTCTAAATTGTTATTTTTAATTTGTAGAGAACATGAGCGACAATATTTTCACGATTGTCCATTATAATAGATATATTAAGTGAAAATGAGATCGGAGTTGCTTTTTATTATGAAAAACTTATAAATATGATGTTCAATAGGGACATCACATTTGTAGAAATGAAGCATATGATAGAAAGAAAATTTTGAGCTACCGTTGATAGTTTGAGGTATAGATTTATGGTATGTCCCAATCCAGTTATATATGTTGCAGTATCAACTGAAGAAGATGATAATATTGAAACCATGATTGTATTATATTAGTCAACAAATATTATTGTTATTGATTTATTTGTTAAGGTGCGTAACATATCCGATGTTACTGGGTCATCAAGAAATGTGACTGGAAATTCATCTCAAATGACTTTCGGAAGTGAGGTTGAGGATCCAACATACAGATCAATAAACAATTTTATGTTGTTATTGGAAAGTGGAAATGAAGTCGGTAGGACATCTGCGACAATAGAGTATGGGGAGAGAAGTATACATCATTCGAAATTGAATGTTGATGTTGATTATGAAAATTGATGGGGAGAAATACCTGATGATTCTAGCGAAGATTAAGAAATCGAGGAACATATTTTGGATGAAAATGACGATTTCTGCGATGGTGGTGCACCTAATTTGGCCATGGATGAAGTTCTGGCACCGTATTAACCTATCCCTCACATGTACGAGATAGATTATGATGCGATGAGGGCACTTGAATGCCCATACATGCCACACTTGACTCCATATCACATGGCTGAATAATTTGAAAATTCGAGTGAATTTTCACCTGGGATGCAATTTGGAGGAAAAAATGAAGCTACATTGGTGATTAAAGAGTATTCCATCAAATTCCATGTTGATTTCCATGTTGCAGAGTCAAACAAGAAAACCATATATGTGAAGTGTGTTATATATGATCCAGAGTGCAAGTGAAAGATTAGAGTCTCGAAAATTCACAGGTATGATGCTTGGGTCATCACAAGGTACAATGGTCCTCACACATGTTTGCGAAACTCCATCGAACATGACCACCGACTATTGGACTCTGATGTAATATGTCAATACGTGAAGGTAATGGTTGAAAAAAATCCAAGGATCCCTTATTCAGTGTTATCTGCATCTATTTGAAGCCAGTTGCGATACTGAGTGAAATACGACAAGGTTTGGTATCCGAAGTCGAAGGCAATGAGGCTAACGTTTGGAGATTGGGATGCATAATACAATGAACTAACAAATTTGTTACAAGCAATGAAACGATTCATCTCAGGAACCATAGTGAAGTCACAAACCATGCTTGCATACAACAAAGAAGGTC